CTATTTTGAAAAATAAAATGGTCCAGATAAACAGACGTGGATGGATGGATACGTGGGTGGATGGATAGACAGGCAGACAGAATAGATAGATAAATAGATAGATAGATAAATAAATGGAGAGATAGATAGATAGATAGATAGACAGATAAATAGATATATAAATAGATAGATAGACAGATAAATAGAAATACAAATAGATAGATAGACAGAAAAATAGATAGATAGATGGATAGAAATATACATAGATAGATAGATAGACTGATAAATAAATAGGTAGATAAACAAACAGACAGACAAATAGATAAGTAGGTAGGTAGACAGATGGATAGATAGATAGAAAAATAAACTAATTAATTGACTGATTGATTTATTGATTAACAGATAGACAAATATACAGACAGACAGATCCATACATGCACATATAAACAGGCACATACATACTAGCAAACTTTCACACATACATACATACACACACACACACACACACACACACACACACACACACACACACACACACACACACACACATACACACACACACACACACACACACACACACACACACACACACACACACACACACACACACACACACACACACACATATGCGTGCGTGTGTGTGCGTGTGTTCAACCCTGTGCCCGCCGTGCCCCTAGGCCGAGGTCAAAGGTCAGGTTCAGCAGTCCATTAAATGGCATCCCCTACGAAGGCGTTAGATTAAAAATACACGAGGAAAATAACAACAGACAAATAAAATAACAAACATGCGAAATGTCACGTGAATTTCAATTTTTGTTAAGGAAAGAATTTATTTATTTATTTATTTTTTTTTCACTTCTCTGTTTGTCTTCCCTTCTCTTTTCCCCGTGCGTCTTTGCCTTTTTTCTTTTCTTTTTTTCCTTACTTTATAATTCGTTTCGTGTCTCTTATCCTCCACCTTCTTCTCTACTCTCTTTCTATCTTCATTTCTTCCTCCTCTTTATATCTTCCACTTTCTCCCAGCTCTCTCCCTTTTCCTTTTATTCCAGTTCCCTCTCTTGTATTCTCTTCTTCTCCTCTCCTGCTCTTTTCATTACTATTACTACAGAAACTACGACTACTAACAATGATAAAAGTACCATTAATAATGATAATAATAATAATGATAATAATAATAATAATAATAATAAATAATAATAATAATAATAACAATGATGATAAAAATGAAAATGATAATAATGACAATAATAATGATAATGATAATAATAATAATAATGATAATAATAATAATAATAATAATAATAATAACAATAATAATGATAATAAAATTTATAATAATAATAATAATAATGATAACAATAATAACAATAATAATAACAATAATAATAAAAATGATTACAATAGTAATAATCATAATAATAATAATAACAATAATAATAATAATAATAATAATAATAATAACAACAACAATAATAACAATAACAATTATAATGAGAATGATAATTATGATAACAAATGATGATAATAGTAATAATAAATAATAATAATAACAATAATAATAAAAATGATTACAATAGTAATAATCATAATAATAATAATAAATAATAATAATAATAATAATAAAAATGATTACAATAGTAATAATCATAATAATAATAATAATAATAATAATAACAATAATAATAATAATAACAATAATAATAATAATAACAATAATAATAACAATAATAATAAAAATGATTACAATAGTAATAATCATAATAATAATAATAAATAATAATAATAATAATAAATAATAATAATAACAATAATAATAAAAATGATTACAATAGTAATAATCATAATAATAATAATAAAAATGATTACAATAGTAATAATCATAATAATAATAATAAATAATAATAATAATAAATAATAATAATAACAATAATAATAAAAATGATTACAATAGTAATAATCATAATAATAATAATAATAATGATAATAATAATAATAATAATAATGATAATAATAATGATGATAATAGTAATAACGATATGATCTCTCTCCTTCTGCTCCTTCTCCTCCTTCTCCAAATCTCACTCCCACTCCCCCTCCTTCTTCATCTCCCGCTGCTCCCTCTCTTTCTCCCTCTCCCTCTCCCTCTCCCCCCTCCCTCTCCCTCTCCTCCCTCCCCCTCCCCTCCCTCTCCCTCTCCCCTCCTCCTCACACGCACAGACTCCCATTTGGATCACCTTAAGCCAGCGTTCACAGAGGGGAAAAAAGGGAGAGGAAACAGGGGGGGGGGGGTTCTCTACTTTGATCAAACACGACTCTTGGCTCTAACATTTATTGTATTTTCTGATAATTCCAGGACGGTAAACATTCCAAGAGAGACGATAATAACTTCATTTACTTTTTTTTTTTTCCTTTTTTTTCCCCCCTCCACTTCCCCTTCTTAAAGCCCCTACCCCCCCCTTTTCCCTATACTAATCCCCCACCCTCTATCACCCCCTCACCTCCCCCACCCCACCCCCCCACC